GAGGATGCTGCAGGCCTGAAACGTGTATTGCTTCTCTGAGGGACCAAAGTACGAGTCCTCTTCCCGGAATGTACTGATGACTCAACAGGGCCTGAAAATTTCTTAGATCGTTCTTGATCAACACGCTCTCTACCAGAAGCTAAAACCTCCACCTCTTCCGCATCTTTGGCTCTGCCCACCAGCACATCAAATATCTCATCCTGATGGGTTACAACTTGCCTACGCAGCTCGTATCTGAGTCCAAGGGCAAATTTACAACATCGATCTCTCTCCGTAGGTACCATACTGAATCCATACTTCAGCAACTTCAGGAACTCGATCTCATATTCAGAAACAGTCATGTCTCCCTGAACCAGGTCTTGAAACTGTTGTCGTCTCTGAGCTAAGTAGCGCTCTCCCAGAAAACGGCTCCGAAAGCGATCCTTAAAGAAATTCCAGGTCAAACGATCGGTAGGAACACTACTGGTCACTGACTCCCACCAAGTGTAGGCATTGCCATCTAACATCGCCATAGCACCCTGATATCTCTTAGTTGAGTATCCTGGAGCCAATCCTCAGCTTCAGTAGGAGCTCCACCTATCTGTCCCCCAAAAGTTCTAACTCTATTGGCAATCAAAGTCTGCGAAATAGGAACCTCAGATACAACACCAGTAGCTCTGACTGCTCCCTGTATTAACTGCAGAATTTGTCTACCAAAATTCTCATCCAATGCAACTCCAGTAGACTCTGACTCAATATCGGTCGCTCCTATGATCGGTGTAGTCATGCCAATGCCATTGGTAGGTGGCATATTCGTTGGGGTCATAGGAGCAGGATCACCTATCGGAGGTGGGGGGATCTACTCGACCTCGTCCACGGTTAGTTCGACGACCACGTTTAGCACTCATTTTTGGTAGATCTCGAGATTACTACAGAAGATAAACTTAAGGTTAGATAAGCACTTGGAGTCTCGAACATAGTTAAAATCTTAATAACTTTGTGACATGGCCTTAGTAACTCGTTTTGTAAAATATTTCAAAACCGTATTTTCAATGTGGACTCATACACAGTCCGATGGTTAAAAACCAAAAGCTCTGATACCAATAAATGTAACCCCCTAGACCCGGCCTATGCGTTTCGACTAAGTCTAGTGGATCACATTATGATTATTAAAGACATTTTCCGAAACCGTTATTCCATCAATATAAAATCACATTATAAATAACATGAAATTATAAACAAATTATACTATCAAAATCTAACTCGTAAATATAGTACCAATAAATAATAATTTAATTTAAAACATGTCTTCAAATTCAAAATCACAATAAACCGAGCAGTAATAGCAAAAGAGTCATCATTATAAAATCCGATATTTTAAAATAAGGTCCATATCACCAAAATAAAGTCAATTTGCAAGATAAAAACATTACAATCTGATTTACTTCAAGAGATATGTTGATTCTCCAAGTGCTCGAACCGAGGTATCTAACCAACAGTATCTGAAAGGGGGAAAACATTTTCAAAAGGTGAGCTAGACTCAGTGTGTCCCAACATTTCCATAAAATCACAATAGGTACAAAATCATAGTCCAGTAATCTCACAAATTCGTAAAAGAGTTTAACTTTTGAAAATCATAGTTTAAACCCTTTTCTGGTACACCATCAGTAGTTTCCAAAATTATTTTCCATATAGCTTACTTTATGCACATAGCAAAAAGAAAGCCGACTTAAGGATAGGTTCTGAAGCTTGTATCCTTAAGCCCAAGTCAATAAGTCCATATAGCTTACCCTAAGCACACAGCAAAGGAAAGCCGACCTAATGAAATATCTTGGGGCCCTCAAGAGTCACATTAGGCCCAGTTAGCTTGATCAGAGCTATTCCATCGTAATTCAATTCCAAAATCAATTGCACCGTGACATAATTCCATAAATCCAAAAACATGGTAATCATATACCATTTCAAACAAAAATTAGATAGCAGCCATATTCCATAAATTGTCACATTAAATTGGTGCATCCATAAAACAATAACCAATGAATTCGGTGTACCACATATTAAAACTAATAAAACAGTTCAATAATAAGTAGGGAACACACCTCGACAATAGGTTCAAATATAAAATCTACTGATTGCTGGTTTCACCACGCTCTGCTACAGTTTTCGAACCTATTTTTACAATAACACTATATTACTTATGAGTAATATAAATAGATCTCTAAAATCATAAAATTTACGGGTCTTACGGGTGAATACTGGCACACGTGGTTTAACTGATCTAGAAGAGCTGGGTCGAGCTGTCGAACGATCCGGAGAGTCTCTTGTACCTTCAAACAATAATATTTATCAGTCTCAAATCCTATTTAATTGTTCAAAGCTAAACTTCTTAAGTATATAAGCATTTTTTGGGTTTGACTATCAATTTGGGGTATTCCGAGTCTGAATTTGGCCAAACGGATTGCGGAATCGGAATAAGGGGGTCGAAAAACATAAAGTATGACTTTCCGAAAATTCAAATTCTTGGTCAAAATCAAAGTCAACCACTTTGACCGTCGATTTGGAGACCTTTGGGTTCGAATTTGACAAAACGGACCACCGAAACGGATTCGGCACGTCGAAAACTATCATGATAGGTATACTCGGAAAAGATTAACGATCGTTTAACAGCCAGTCAAAGCCGGTCAAAGTTTTGGTCAAAGGAGGTCAACAAACTGTTGAACATTTTACACAAATAGTACCTTTTTAAAATAATTACCAAAATAGCACCCATTTCGACTTAATTACCAAAATAGCACCAAAATCGAATTATTTACCAGAATAACACCAAAACCGAATTATTTACCAGAATAGCATCGGTCAACGGTCAAACAATCGGGTCGGGTCAACGGGTCGGGTCGTGACCGGTCAAACCCTTAAGAAAACCGGTTGAACCGGTCACTCACTCGCCCAACGGCGACGCGTGTGGCGCGTGAGGTGTCCTCCGGGGCTCTAAAAATTACGAAAAATTTTCTAAAAATTATTTTGAGCGTTTTCGAGATACTTACAAAGCTCGGTTCAAATTTTTGAATGTCGGAGAGCTCGAATTCATCAAATTGGGAAGTTTGACCGGTTCACCTCCCCACGCGCCGCCGTCGCCGGAGAAAAAGGGGAACACCGGTGGACTCGGAACGGCACAAGGAACACGATGGTGCAGGAGGTGTCGTAAACGGAGCAACGATCAGCGGTGAATTTAAGATTTTCTCGGCGATAGAGCTAACAAAAACGTCGCTACTTTGACTAGAAATTCCCGACGTTTGGCCGCGTTTCGCTTCAATTAATTTGAAGGGTTTGTTCCTCGCTCGATGATGAACACAACGGTGGTTTCAAAACAACGATCGGAATTCGGACGGCGTCGGAATCGGGTTTGGAAGTTGTGTGCGTGAGGAAGGATTTGTGAAATTGATTTCTGTTTTTCAAAACAGAAATCACGCATATATAAAAATTGCCTGCCGACACTCCAAGGTTAAATTCAGGGCTTGGTCCCTGAATTTTCTTTAACTCTAAAACAAGCTCCAAGTTTTAAAATCTTTCAATTTAGTCCTAATTTTCGCCAAATTTTCACAATTAAACCCTCCAATTTCAATTAAATATTATTTTGAAAATCGGGTTGTTACAGACATGCTAACAAACATATAAACGAATATGTTTCACAAACGTTAAACAAACAAAGGCAGAAATTTCAAAAATAAATAAACGAATACGAACATGATATTAAAAAAATTAAACAAACACGAATCGGACATGAACACATTCAAACATAAACAAACGGACACAAACACAACGTTACTCGTTGAAGCTCGGTTATTTAGTTTCCTCTTTCTACTAGAGCACTTGTTCATCATCTGCTGCTTGATGATGATGATGATGATGGGTTGGGAACTAAGCCGTCTGCTTGCATGCAATTCCTGAGAGCCACTGGTGCATTGAATATTACCATAAGACTAGCAACTTAAGGTCATATAACGATCATACATGGATAGATTAAAAATTTAACTAAGAAACTTGAACAAAGATAGATACAAACAGATCTGATCGTATCAATAATCGAATCATAAAAGGGGATCAAGTTATTGAAAGACCAACGATAAACCGCAAATCAGATTCGAGCGACGTGAAAAGTTATTCACGAGCACAAATCGGATATCTAAATCTAATATGAGGGTTCAAAGCAAAGAAGATCAACAAGATATCAGATTAGGGGCATCTTAATCAGTTGCGACTATGTCTAATCAACTCTTAAAAAAATAAATGAAAAAGGACAAATAAGGAAAAACATGTAAAAAAAACATAAGAAAATATATCATAAATGTATATGAAAACGTGTATAAACAGACTTATTGAAAATAAAAAAATAAAAGAAATAGAATATGATATAAAAATAATAAAAAAAAAATATCGTCGGTTGACAATTAACATTAAAATTAGTGTCGTCGTCGATCAACAAAGATGAAAAAAAATTAACAAGAGAAAACTATTTAACGCTCACATTTAAATTTAAATAACATACGTTAGTAGTATAGTATCGAATATTTGAGAAACTCTCTTCGAATATGCAAGTGAGATTTATGTCATGATTGGCGTGTTCTTAACCTTTTATTAGGGGTTGTTTGTTTACTTCAAAATGATTAAGCGCTAAATGATTCAAATATTGAATGATTCAGAGACTCTGTATGAATTAGCTCTGAATGTGACATTCTGTTTGATAATGGTTCTGAATAATTCAGAATGTATTTATGTGCTGAATCATTCAACATTGTTTTGTTGAATCAGTCAGCACTGAATCATTCAGAGATGCGAAACAAACGCGTTGAATGCTGAACGGTTCAGCAAACAAACAACCCCTTAATCAAAGTTTGTTTGTAAATTTTGATTTTGACTTTGATTTCTTTACACTCTTTTTTTCTCTCACCAGTGGTCTAGTGGTAAAATAGCACCCTTCCACGGTACAGACACGAGTTCGATTCCCGGCTGGTGCATCCTCGAGGCAGTGATGATAGCTGCGCTGAAATGAAGATTCGAGTTCTTCAAGATAATCTGTTTAATGGATTACACCATAGCGCTTCTGAGCTTCGTTTTTATTTTGTTACTGAACGTCCTTTCGGTGACATGGTCCATGCACTCAAGTTGTTCGATCAAATACCTGAACGGAAAAGTGTGTTCCTCTGGAACACAATGATCAAAGGTTACTCTAATAGTGATTGTCTCAACCGTGAGATTTCAATGCATTTAAAACATGTTGAGACTGATAATTATACGTTCCTTTTCCTCTTTAAGGGTTCCGACAGAAATGTTGAGCTTTCATTTGGGGAAGTGTTGCACTGTCATGTGGCGAAATTTGGTTTGGTTCCAATGTTTTTGTGCAAAATGCTTTGATCCATATATGTACTCCTTGTGTGGACAAATGGAAATTGCGGCTCGGGTTTTCTATGTTAGTTGAAAAATCGACGTGATTACTCGAAATGTGTCGATAACCGGATATCATAGTTCGGTGAGATGGAGAAGAATGTAGTGGTTCCTTCTGTTACTTTGGTTTCTCTGCTGTCCGCTTGGTCCAAATTAAGAGATCCGGTGATCGGCAAGCAGGTTCACGAGTGTATCGGAAGGTGTGGGATACAGCCTAAGTTGATTCGGGAAAACGCTATGGTATTGTTCCGCCACCAAAAAAAAGTTCAGAGGCGCTGTGTGTTGATTCGGGAAAACGTTTTGGTATTATTATTATTTTGCTTGAGGTATATTTTATTTATGTAGTAGACTCAATTTATTATTTTTGTCATCATAAATATTTTCGCATCAATTTAGCACTTCGTAATTAATTGCATCAATATTTAAAATATTTATTATTGTTTAAGGTTTAGGGTTTAGGGTTTAGGGTGATTCGATTAAACAGTTTTGAGAGCTAAATTGATGCAAAAATGATAAATTATACCGAAGTAAAAGCAGCCCTTAAGCTTAATTTTTTAGGGTAAACTACGCATTTAGTATTATATGTTTTGGTTTGTTTTGGCACCTAAACTTTCAATTTTTTTCAAAATCATACCTAATGTTTAGTTTTTATTTCATTTTAGTATCCTGACACTAAAAAGTTAGCGCATTTAGAATCTAAACTATCAATTTTGGTACATTTTAGTACCTAAACTTTCAATTGTTTTCAAAAACTTAAAGTTAAATTTTGAACGGTGGTACTAAAATGAAATAAAAAAATTAAATTTTAGGTATGTTTTGAAAAAAAAAGTTTATGTACTAAAATGGACAAAAAATGATAGTTTAGGCACTAAATACGTAGTTTACCCTATTTTTAGTACTAATTTATTTATTTTATCTTAAAACTATATAGTTAAATTTTAAATGTTTAACACATTTAAATAAACTAATAAATTTGTTGCTCGATACTTGATCGCCGAGCTATGAGGCATCTATGAGGGGTTGATCACTACATGGGGCTTGGGAATGAGGAAGATTATTACCGAGACAGATAGTATGGACTATGGAGGTTCTTGTTGTGCTTCTTAGAGACTCGGGGTTTTCGGATATTTCCACGCATTGCTTCTCTTCTTGATCGAGATTGGACTTTTTCATTCACATATGTGCCTCGAGCAGGGATGTTCATAATTCGGTTAAAACAAATTAACCGATCGAATCGAAATTTTGGATATCAAAAAACAAATTCATAACTGTATCGAAGGGTGTGGGATAGAGCCTAAATTGATTATGGAAAACTATGGAAAACAAATTTACATGGCCATGGTGAAGGTCTTGGTATGTTCTATAACATGCTAAGATCTTCAAGAAGACCATACCAGATATCCTACATTGGTGGTGTTCTTTGTGCCTATAGTCATGCAAATATGGTAGATGAAGGACGAAAGTTCTTCGCTGGCATGGATATCGAAAATGAGATCGAGCCCGATTTAACACGCCATGGGTATTGTATGGTTGATCTTCTAGCTCGAGGACTTCAAATGTGCCTGGGTATCTTTATGCACTTCTGAGGTGTTATTGATCATAGGGGAGGGGGATAAAAAGAGCATGCTGTACAAGCGCAGCCAGGAGTTTTTTTTTTTTATAATAAGAATGAAGATCATTACAATAGAATATTAATTGCGAACAAAAGCAGGACCATGAAGGTCACGAGTGAGATGAGGGATGATCTCCTGGGGGATTCCAAATATATGCATGATTGACCATTGACATTAGTAGTGGATTTGGTAAGGGAATCAGCCACAACATTAGCTTTACGACGAATGAGAAGAAAATCAAGCATCCATGGTTTAGAAATGAGACTTGCAATAGAGCGAACAAGTGATATGGGCTGGAGTTAGCCGTTGGTGAAGACACTAGTTTAAAAGCTTCCGCACAATCCGTTTGGCATTGAAGATGCTAAATTCCATGGGAGCACGCTAGTTGAAGTCCTTCAAAAATGCCCTAGAGTTTAGCTTGCAAAAGAGACAAAATCCCAACCGGTTTATTGAATCCAACAATCCAATCTCCATCATTATTTTGAATGAGACCACCAGCCGAACCAAGAGAAGAAATATTATGAACCGCACCGTCGGTGTTGAGAGTGCACCAACCAGCAGACGCAGGTTGCCATTGGACTAGCCCATGATAGGAAAAGTCAGCACCGATTGAAAGAGAAGGCGTTGCTGTGATGAAATATTGAGACCAATTCTTACTTAGACATATTAATTGGCCATTGGAGAGGTTTGGGCCAGAAAAGATGATGGAGTTCCTTCGCTTCCAAATCTGCCAAGTTACAGAAGAGAATAATTTTCCAAGAAATGTTTGTGCCAGCAAATAACCTATTAGACTCAAGATTCATCAGAAGCCAGTCATTAGCATCAAGAGTAAAGAAATCCAAGAAGTGTTGCTTGGGAATAACCGACTGTCATAGAGCAGCAGTGGTATTGCAATCACACAGAACGTGCATAGTAGATTCATCAGTAGAGCCATATATTTGACAGAGCGAATCATTGGTGAGATTCCTTGAGCAGCGATTAAGGTTTGTGAGTAAGCTTGGACCATTTAACATCTTTGATATCCCAAGAATCTTTTGAAAAGAGAATATAAGCAGGTTTCACAGAGAAATCACCATGCTTGCCATGAGACTAAATACAGCGATCATAATCGGCATTGGGGTCAGGGGGCTGAACATTCAAAAAATGTTGAAGCGTAAAGGGGTGAATAAACTACCGAAGTAAATCCCAATTCCAACTACCGTTCGACAAAACGAGATCACAAACCAGAAGGTTATCGTTGATGGTAATACCCTCTTTTTTTCAATCAGAGAGGCAACCAAGTTTTCGGCAGCCAAGTATCTTGCCAGAATCTGATAATAGAGTCATCGCCTACAGACCAAGAAATGAAATCATAGAAGCTAGACCAGACTTTTGATAAGGCTCTCCATAGATAAGAGCAATTCGACCAGAAGATGGAAGAGGGGCAAGTAGAGAGCACCTTGTATTTTTGCTGAAGAAGCTTTATATAGCAACTCTCCGTATCCGAAGCAATGGCATTACAAAGTGACACTTTAGGTGCTCGGGCCATCAACAATGTTAGTTACGTGTCACAACCTGATAGTTTTGAAATTTATTTTTTTAAATATTAAAAATAGTATTATATTATAAAAATCCTAAGTTTTCTTATATTATAAAACAACCCAAAAATCTCAAATCCTAACCTTAATATGTCGTCACCGCTCTCTCCAGCCACGAACACCACCACCGACGTAGTCCTTGCCATCATCATAGTTATATGTCGTCGTAGTTGTTGTCGATTCACCATCAGAATCGCGTAGGATCACGATTTTCATCTTAGGGTTCACGGGATTTAAAACGTTAATTTGTCATCAATAAATCGTCAACGGGTCACAATTTATAGGGGTTTTGGTCGTCAGGGGAGGGGAGGTCGGGTGGAGCTTCTTCAACAGCAAAAGGATGCGGTCGGCGTTGGTTTAGGAGTTGAAATGAAGGTTGTTGAACTATGTTTCGATATAACAATTTAAGGCAAAATGATTTTTGGACTTGAATTGAATTTACAAAATGTATTTGGACTTAATTGAATTTATTCAAAATTTACAAAAATAATTCAAAGTTCTTTTAATTTAAAATTGAGCACAAAAATGTTTTTATGAATAGTAATTTACTATTTGAACAGTAAATCACTGTTCATCAGCCTAACGGTCATAATATTTGAATATTTATGAAAGAGTATCAATTCCCTATGAAGGGGTATCAATTCCCCTTATTCTGGGCAGCTTATTTTTACAGAAAAATCGGACACTTGAAGAAGTAAGAGAACAACTATCCAAGCAATCAAACACAAGAGAAGAGTTTTTCATTCTTATTTCATCTTTCTCTTGTAAATATTTTGTTCTTGTGAGCTCAATCTTGTAAACACCTACCTTAGAGAGGTTTTCTTGTTTACATTTCTTATCCTTTTGTAAAGGGAAAGGTTCTAGCTAATCCCGTGTAAAAGTTAGGGAAAGGTTATAGTTTAGCCCGGAAAAACTAGGGAGTTTGTAAGGTTACTCTTTACCCTCAAAAGAAAGAACAAATTAGTGAATTTGTTAGAAAATCCTTGGTGATGAGCTAAGGTAGTTGACGTAGACTTTGATTGAGAAAGTCGAACCACTATAAATCGCTGTGCAATTCTCTATCTTTCAATCTCCTTACTCCCTAAACACAAAATCGTTCCGACCCCTCTTTACAAATCGTTCCGGTTGTCGTTTCGAGCTTCCGAAAATCCTAACAAATGTTTTCAAAGTTTAGGGGTTATTTCAAATTTTATGTGTTTTCTTTTAAAAATATATATAATTTTATTTTTTTTAATTCTATATAAAAATTTTAAATTACCAAGTTGTGACATGTGTCACTTAACTGAGAAAACTAACACCTACAACCCATGCATCTAAAGTGCTAACATTTGTAACGTTGGGCACCTCGATAGGGTAGAAATGTAGGTACTTATTTGACACAAATGATATTGTTTGAGCATTAACCCTTCATCTTTTGTCAACTTTTCTCATTAAATCTGAAAATTCATAAAAATAAGAATATCTTTAACGATTTCAA